CCCCCAGAAAAGGGGGGGGGGAGAGGGCCAGGCTGTGGCACAGTGGTAAAATGTATCACTCCTCAAGGCTCACTCGCACGGGATGGTTCTGGGTTCGCATCCGGAGACCTCCCCAGCCATGCCCGGGCAAGCACATACCCATGATTCGAAGTTAGCGGAAGCTGACGGTAGAGTGTGATGTCAAGACTCCATTGGGGGTGCTTTCTCTCTGTCTCTCAGTTGTGGGAGAAATAAGTAAACTTGTAAAGAAGAGTGCAAACCCCAAAGTCAGGGTTCAAACCCCACCTTGCCCCTCCTGGGTGTGCAGCCTTGTGTTACAGACGGCCTCTCTGAGATGGTTTCATATCCTCAAAGATGGGGTCATCACCTCCCCTCCCCCACCTCAGCTCAGTGCAAAAACATCTGGGGACCCCTGATAAGTGTGCGATAAACTGGGTTCAAGTCAGAGTTCAGAGGAGAAGCAGACAGACCTGGTTCGAATCCTGGTTTTGCTATAGAAAGCTGTGGGACCTCAGGCAAGTCCCGTTACCTCCCTGGGCCACTTCCTCTAGGCACAGGACTGGGTTCACCAAGAAACAGGCGAGCATTGGTGGAGGGTGCCGGGATTGCCATCAGGGTACGTGGCCTTGGCTACGGCGTCCGCAAAGGGAAGACCACCGTTCCAGCTCCGCAGTGCTGCAGGGTGGGTTGGCGTCTGGCTCGAGTGTTCTGAACGCCAAAGCCTTCGCTGTTCATGCTCACACTGCCGATCGGCTCCCTCCCAAGGCACTTGGGTGAAAGCCGCATGAGGAATTGTGAACGCAGCTGCCCCCAAAGCCCGGCTTTGCCCCAGTGCCCCAAAAGCTCCCAAGCCCAAGCCTTCCATCTCTGAAGTAAACGGAGGGTAATTCCGGAGAGCACTTGGCAAATGCCAGGCCCGGGTTTGGAACCCTTAGCCTAAGTTAGCTCGTCAAATCTCCCCCACAGCCCTGTGGTAGGTGCTGTTACTATGCGCAGAGAGGGTGGGCTGCTGGTCCCAAGGCACATAGCTAATAAGCGATGGGATTGCGTTTGGAACCCGGAACCAGAGGAACTAGCTCCCCTCCCCCTCCACTCCCCGTTTAACCGCAGAGGGCAGAAACCCAGCTAGAGCCCCACACTTCCATCTGAACATCCGGGAACAGGCTGAGAGCTGGAAGGAGGGTCCCTCTGCAGCCACCAGCTGGCCTCTGTGGAGGAAGGAGCCCTGCCACAGAGAGGACTGCAGAGCCCAGCTGCCTGGGAGGTGGGGCGCCGGCCCGCCCCCGTTCTTGCTCCCACTCCCTGTTCCCTCTGCTGGCCCAGCTCTGTGAGGCCCTCCCACCCCCACCCTCTGGGCAGGAAGACAAACAGGGCTGGAACAGTACAGTACAGGACGGAATGTCCTCTCTGCAGGGCAAGACTGG